ATTGGTGGATCTTGGACACAAAGCACCAGAGCTTCAAACTCAGATACCATCAGTAAAAAGACTTGAACTTCTAGTCTCTAGCTTTTTCTTAGAATTTCAAAAAAGCAGAGAAATGTGGAAGTTCAAGAGTTTTCAGCTGTTGAAAAGATTAGGAAAAAGCTTTTACACTTCATTGGGACATCCAACTCGGGCATGAAGTAGCTGCCTTAGTAGAAGCATAACTTGAGAGCAAAAATTTATTTTAAAGTTCCAGTGCCCATAGTGAACATTAGCTCTCAAGGGATAAACTGTGATGCAGCCCAAATCCTGCACTGTTTACTGAGTCCACTGAAATCAAGTGAAGTTCAAACCAGTTAGAACCAGCATGTTTTGGATCACAACAGTTTGCATCCCGTAGAAAGCCCGCTGACTACAGTGGAGAAGCGCCGCCTAACAGCAGCGCTGACCACAACCACGCAGCACTACAGAAAAGAGAGTGAGTCCACATCACCCTTTCTCCGCTTTCTTCCTCATTGTTTTTATACTTTCAAAAATATATGGCTAGGAAAGACACTGTGGCAGCCAAAGGATGTGGCGTGCACAGACAAGCTGCAGGCAGGCTGACAGCGTGTCCTCAGCGCATCTGCAGCCTCCCACAAGATTTGCATTTGACATCCATCTCCCCATTGTTAAGACATCTTTATCTCAGTTTTCAGGAAACGTCAGATGACTCATCTATCGGAACATCTGATGAAGTTAATGTAATTTCAAAAATGAATCCTACTTAGGCGTATTTTTCCAAGCAAAAAATGAAGAAAAATGTTTTAAAATTATGCTAAAAATCTAATTTCTGTTGCAAACCAGTTTCCTGATTTAGGAACTCAAGAGCTTATTTTTTCTGTAGACAGTTTAACAGGCTTTTAGGCATCCAAATTTAGGAAAAAAATCCTACGGCATTTAAACAATGCAGAGCCAGAGCTGGAGCTGACTCAGCCACTCAAGCGCACAATTTGAATATACTACATAATCATTCTTGTTTTAAAATTATCCTCCTAATATCTAAGGGCTACATTATCCCACACACATTTATCTTGATTAATGCACTACCCTAAGGACAGCCTTGCAGATTTCATTAGGACTAATTATGAAGCAGGGTATTCAACAGCAGGATGATAAAATCTTGCTCTGATTGACATGACCCTGACCTCTTCCTTGCACTACCTCATCGAGGTCACAGAAATGTATGTGTCTTCCTTTTTCTCCTCCAAACTTCTAATTAACATGTAACAACTGCTGTTTGTTACTGATTCAGACTTAAGAAAGAACCCATAAGGTGCACACACAGGACATGCTTCCCAACAAATGACACGTGCCCCAAGATCAACGCTGCAGTGCCACAGTTCTACAAGCAGCCCCTGCAAACCCCGACACAGTACCTGCGGGTGGCAACACAACATGGAGGAGAGATTCACAGCAGTAGATGCCCCTCTTATTTTCGCTCTACACCTACATACACAGTTTTTGCTTTCATTTCACAGGGAGAAAAAACAAACAAAGTATTTTACCCAAGCTGAAAGTTCCACTTCTGAAATCTATTTTTACCTCTTATGAGCAGACTAGATGAGTCGTACTTGCTTGCGGCTGGCTGTGAGCTCCGTGCACTCCGTCCCTGCACAACATCTACGGAGGACACCTGGGACGGAGGCCAAAGTCTGCCAGGCAGAGCTGAAGGGTACTGCCATTTCACGGGGTCCCCTCAGAAAGTATTTGCTTTGCCTGTTTATGTTCTAAATATAGCAGAGCACACCGGCCATCTCCAGCTCATGAGCAAGTATCGCTATCAGGGGCTGCAGCTCTCTGCAGCACTAACACACACCTGCGTGATGTCAGCTAATATAAAGCATTTTTTCTAAGACACACTAATTCATGGGAGCGCTATGAGTGAAAGATGCATTCATAGTTTGTAAAGAAAAATTCAGTGACTAAATATCTGTCTTATGTCCAAGAGACAATGCAAGAGTAGCTGTTAATACTAATATTACATACATTTATAAGACATCAAGTATTTTAATATTAAGGTCAATTTTTAGGTGTACTGCTATTTTAGTAAAGAGCAAGGACATTACATCCACACTGAATTATTGAAAAATTAAAAATTACTTCTGAATGTCCTAATCAAAAATCTTTTTTTTTTCTTTGGTAAACTATTAACTGACCTTACAGGGTCTAGACAAATCTGGTATAACATTTCCCTAAATTGTTTTTGCGTAACATCTAAAGTTTGTGATATTGCAGAAAATGTAACAAAATAACTAGTTCTTGTTTAACTTAGCACACACAAAAATTGACAAAGATGTGAAACAAAACCAAAACTGAGTAACTGCTTTTCTACCACGTGGATTGGACAGGGAATTCAGTGAAGAGATATTCCATTTTCTGATTACCAAAGTTATTTTCATAGATTATAGAAGCTATTTAACTAAAAAAAAAAGAAAGAAAAAAAAGCACGCTCAGGAGCAAGCAGCTCTCCTTATGCTGGAGGCAGCAGCAACACAACCCAGCCCTGCTCCCCAGGCTGCAGTGAGGGGATCCACTGGATCCCCTGGGAGCCTCTCCAGGACACAGCACATGGAGGAAGCACCTCAGCCACACGTAGACCTTTTAAGCATGAACACCAGTAAACATATCTGGTAAGCAGTGTATTTTTAAACAGCAGATTCCTTCCCAGCTTACAACTCGGCTACTGCGTTGACTTTACATGGGCAACGGAAGATTCTCTCGACAGGGTATTTTGAAGCAATGTCATAATGCTGTAATGTTACCTACAGTTATTATCCATGGACCTTGCAGCTCTTTACAAAGGTGATAATTATCTCCTTCATTAAAAAAGGAAACGGAAGAGCCCTGCTGACGGCAACACAAGAGCCAGCCATGCCGCCGGGGACAAGGAAGCCTGGCCAGTCCCCAGTTTGTCTCTCATCCAGATACAAGCCCAAGCTGCCGCTCTGGCTCCAGCGCCACTGGTCTCCTCATCCAGCACCAAGATTTTAAGGCACTTCCAATGACCACGGATGTCAGAAATCTGAGTGGAGGACACTGATGTACAGCAAACTCAGGTGATGCCTCCCATAGCGAAGGAGATTCACATCCAATTAACTCTGGCATCTTGTTTCAACCTTTTCGGTTGGATCCTCGCTCTGAAAAGCGCAAGGCCAGAGGAGTAAGGCCGCTGCAACTGCACTGCACCGTGCGATCGAATACCAGTTCAGTGGGAAATTAAACCGGGGGATACTGCAGGTACTATTTTACATCTTCACTCTCACACCCTCTCACACAGAGGCAGGTTTAAGTCTCCAAGGCCAGGCCCGTGTTTCCGGCAGGTATGCCACCGTGGGTGCAGCGCTGCAGCACGGCTGTCCCCGCTGCGGCAGGCCGTGCAGCCTCTGACACTGCCAACACACCGGCGGGGCGGCTGCGGTGGCGCCCGCAGCGCAGCATCCTCGAAGCAGCAGCTGGCCTGCACCACACCACACTACGCCATGCCTCGCCATGAAGAGGAAGCACCAGGCGGGCTCGCTGCCACCCAGGGGCGGTGGCCGCGGCGGGCAGAGGCACTGGGCCACTCCTCCACCAAGGGCGATGCCTCAAGGCCAAGACTCCCCATCGGCGCTGGTGGCGCCCAGCACTGCTCCTAACTCCAACGCTTTTTTAATGCATAGAAACACTTTATTTCCATGTTTTTAAATGAATTTTTCTCTCCCCCCATGCATTATGATTACTGTAATTTCAAAATAAATTTGAACAACACAAACAAAAACGTTTCAATATCCGTAAGTTAAAACATGGCTGGGGGTGGTGGGGCTGGGTATTTCGGGCCCGAGAGCATTTTAAAGGTTCACCATCTACCCTGTTCTGCAACAAGACACATTTTTAAACTCAGGAGCATTGCAGGATTTATATAAAACCGCTATTAACCCACTTCCTGCCCAGCTCCCGCTGCGATCGGGGCCTGGCTGCACAAGCGACCTGCAGTAGCTGGTTACAGCTACAACTCCCTCCCCAGAGCATGTCTCTGCCATGAGGCAACTCCACGCACTCGGGCTCTGCTCCGCTTCCCGGGATTTGGTCCCAGGAAGAGAAAATTATACTGTAGAAAAAACTGACAGACATATTTCATAAAAAAATTAAAAGTTGGGAAACGGACTCTACTGAATTAATTCTGTACTGTTTGTGGTATGAGTATTTTAAACGTTAAGATTATTTAATTCATAAAAATTGAAGGGAAGGCGCTGGGATCCACACGTTTAACACCTATTGCTGAAACTACAGCTACAGTAAAACAGCAGCCATACATTTGCAGCACCTAACTCGGATATGCCTCCTAAAAATCACAGTGAGGCTGTACACTCTCTGCTACAGCCCTGCTTGCACGTCTAGAGGCACCTTGCCTTCTGCTAAGCATTGTCCTTCCCTTAAGCAAGTGTGTTTGTGAAAAAGACAGGATAACCACAGCAGTCCCAAACACAGAAATACAAGCAGGGTGCACACAGACACCCAAATAACCTAGGGAGGAAAACACTCTTCTAAGATTCACCCTCAGCTGTCCAGAGACACCAACAACCCGCTGGTAGTTACGAGATGGAAACAAATCCTCATATTGCTTACGTGGTTTGTGCTATTAAAAACAAAGAATCCTTACAGTGACTTTGCTGTTTCTACGTGAAGTGCCCTTTATTCCAGCTACAGGCAGAGAGTAATTTGGAGGCAAAGAACCAGTCACTGTAGCCATACTGGAGGATTTGAGCCCTGCCAGGCATATTTTCCCTTCATTCCCCCTATCCTTCCCCTTCCCCTGAGGAAAACAGCAAAACAAATCAACAAGCATCAATAAAATAAAAGCAGCAAAACATCCCACTGCTGGCAGCCAGCAACTGCTCCCTTTTGGGCTGCAGGGTTTCTCTGGCTACAACTGCTTCTTTCATTAACTGTATATCCTTGAAAATAATATAATATTTACTCACTTTCAATGAATCAAAGCAGGCGATTACGCGTCCGTTTTCAACTTGGCAGCTTTTCGATGGGTGTGCAAATTTACATTCCGTGTCTGGTCGTGAGCAAGTCCCCCTTTGGAACTCCCTACACACTTCCAGCGTTAGCCATTTTGTGTCCCGAATCGGCGTGACACTAACAGCCATCTTTAGATTTTACAGGTAGTTAAAATTTCCAATAAAACGGACAAACAAGTAGCTGAATGATAAACTGGAAACGATGAAAGCGCCACCTCCAGAATACTTTTTTTCCCCCACTCCCTATTTTAAAAGTACGTGTAAAATTGGGTGGCCGCAATGTCAAAGAAAAGATGTGCCACCAGGAGTTCACAGTGTGACACTGTTAATCGACAGAGGTTTCGTACTTAGAGAAATGCTAGGATTACCAGCAAGGTGAATGTTAAAAAGTGTGGCCCGGACTAGCCTCGTGCGCTCAGTAACCCATCCTGAGTGCCAACCGGAGCCCACAATGCAAGCATGAAAACGTGGCAGACCCTCTGACACGGGATTTCCAAGCTGCTTTCAGTAAAGTTGTCTGAAAAGTAATCTCCACGCAGCTGAATTTGCAACGGGGTTTTGTGGTGCAATCGGTATCGATTAGTTTGGCATAGACAGATGCAGCAGTTTAGAGCAACGATCGAGATTGGATTTTTTTTTTTTCTCCTCTCCTTGATTTTCGGGCAGAAGATATCTGACCTTCTCAGCAAACTTTTATTTTTACAGTAAAGCAGCCTACGGCAAGGCCCGATAGCGCCTTTCTCTCGGTTTTGGGTGGCAGTGGGGGTGTCTGGCTAGAGGTGGCGGGCGGATGCGCTGTCGTCGCAGTCTAGCTGGCAGCAAGCAAGGCAAAAAGCAGCGGCTGCTCTAGAAGCGGTCCCAAGCAGCAGAGACGTCAGGAAAGGCACTTCTTAGTACCAACCTGTAGAGAGAAGAGACACGTTACAATTCACCGGGCGGCATTTCGGGGGTGTCCCGCGGAGCCGCCGCCGCCGCCCCGCGCAGGGCACTCACGCCAGCCGCCGCCGGGCTGCGAGGAGAGGGGCCGCTTCCCCGTGCGGAGCCAGGCATGATCGGGAGCGAGCCAATCGCAGATAG